TGCAATCATGCTTGCAGAACTGTTCAGAGTTCTCAGGTGGTAGCACCGAGGGCTGAGCATGATGACAGCACCATGGATATGCTCTTAGTTCATGGTAGTGGGCGACTGAGGCTACTGAGATTTTTCTTGCTATTGCAGATGGGTCAACATCTTTCTCTACCATATGTTGAATATATTAAGGTATGAGCAGGTACCACTAATGATTCTTTTGCGTTCATAAAATGAAGCAGCAAATTGAGTCTAGGTAATTGCATTATGGTTGTCAATGATGTTAGTATGAATTTTGCCTAGGGACTTTAGATGACTGAAAAAATTTCTAGTTTGAATCTTGTTTTTCTATGGTGGCTGTGCTTGTCCATTGCTTTTCTTTGTTGCTGGGTTCATCCAATGCTCTTATTTGAGATCAGAACAGTGTGTTACACTGCCCTGCCAGTTTGTTCACATTGTTGTTATTTTGGAGTTTTTATAGGATCTGTTATTCAAGTTGTTCTTTTAAGAGCTGTGTCTGAAACACCAATCATCAAGTTGTTCTTTTAAGAGCTGTGTCTGAAACACCAATCATCAAGTTGATTAATATTTTTGGAACTATATCATACATGCTGTGCTCGGCTGAATTTTGTTTTTTTTTTAACCAACTATGTAGGTAATCAATCATCAAGTTGATTAATATTTTTTTTATCAAAAGGCTGCTTGCCAATATTTGTCCTGACTATGTAGGTAATCCTGCTCAGAGATGCAGAGAGGTAGAGGGTGTTTTCAAGCATTCATGTGCATATACAAGAAATGCACCCATTGGGTGCTGCATGTTTTAGTAGGCAGCAAGGGTCATCATAAATTAATTAAGTTGTCTTGACACCATCTAGTTTAAACTTCTGCAGGTAAAATCTGTGAAGATAAAAGCGGGGAAGCACACACACAATGGTTGTGGAATTGATGGTGAGCTCTTTCAACTTAATGGGCAGGTAATATCGTCTTTGCTGCCTGAGCAGTGCAGACTCATTGGCCGGTCCCCAAAGCATCCCATGTAACAATCATTTAATCATGCCTCGCTCTACATTTCCTTGAAAGAAAAGGGGACTTCACTCTCTTTGCGAGTTGTGGTTTTGATATATGCATAGATCCTGGAACCAGAGAAGAAAAAATTGTGGCCTTTTTTTTCGTCTTTTTTTTTATTTTTTTTATTTTTCATTTGAAGCCCTATCACCATTGAGTCTTGAGATCCCTGTAAATTTTTTGTGCGGTTATGTGTATTAGTTGCTGCTTGTTTATTTTATTATGTCCTTTTAGTTTGCCCATATACGCTGCCCACTTTCATTTGTTGGCACGAGGTGCTTCTTGTATTGGAAAACACCATTCCCTTTCTTCTGTGATTATAACCGAAATTGTTCATGTCATTGTGATATTGTAAAGCATTTGGTTCTCTTTCCACTCCGATTTGTCAGATTGCTTGCTGTGCGCAGTGCCTTTCCATGTTCACATCGGGATAAGAGGGCGTGCTCTTTTTTTTTTCGGCGGTTGAAAAAGGGTAAATTTAAACCATAATTATTAAATCTAGATTGGTCTGGCAGGTTAATTTGATGATTAAACAGGTCTGAGTTAGGAGATAGATTGGTAAAATAAATAAAAAAAAACCTTGTTAAAACCTGATCGGTTTAATGAGTTGATATATATATATATATATATATTAACTTTACTTTCAGCAAAGCAAAAGGAAAAAGCCATGCAATAATTTCTTTCTTTGCAGTTTGAAAAAACAGGAGATATGTATCTTAGAAACGTAATTCAAGTGGATGAAGCCATCGCTTTCCTAAAATTTTCAAGGAAAAATCATGTATTCTTCTAATTTTAAATACTATATTCTTTTAATTTTAAATATTGCTCGTCATGTTTAAATAATTGAGAGTTTACTATTAATATTTGGATTTAAAACCTATCATGTTATGATAAATTTCTAAATATTATCTTAGCTAAATATTTGGATTGGTGGCATAGCTTTGAATTGTTTTTTTTTCCGAGTTTATGTTGGGAATCCTAGGAATTATAAGGAGAACTTGTGTTTAGACTCTGAAGCAAAGTTGATGTGTTTAGACCTGGTTCACTATCCATAGCTGTTTTGGGGGATCTTGTAGCTTTATTAAGGCTGTGTTATTATACTGTAACACATATGCAGATTTTGTAAAGTAGTATTTACATATTTTTTTTAACTTTGTTTTGTAAAATTCTATTTATTTTTGCATTTTAAAAGAACTTTTAAAAAATATTGAAAATTTTTTATTTTTTTCTTTGCTTCAAATTGATATATTTTTTATATTTTCATATCATTTTAATCACTAATATCAAAAATAATTTTTTAAAAAAAATATTTTAATGCATTTCCAAGTAAAAAACATTTTAAAAAACAACTACAGTCACACTTATATAAAATATTTTATACATGTTTTTTACTGTACATAAACTTCAACTATAATTTTTACTAAATATATATTTAAAGTCAACTAACCACAACTAATCATATATCTTTTAAAATTATAACCATAAAAACTATCCAAAAAACAAATACCTAAAAAAACAGTAGCATATAAAATTAAAATTGGGCTGATTTTATTAAACCCAAGGTCTGTGATAGGCTTGATGAGCGTGTATGCATGCATCCGAAGTATCAAGTAATAAATCATCTATTTTTGGTTTATTAAAAAAACCTAAAAGCAATTAATAAAACATTTTCATGTTCATTGAAACATTGCAATTATATTTATGCTTTTTAAAAAAAATTAACAAACTTGAGATGAGAATGTCTTTTCTAAAGAATTTATTGAGCATTACAAAATTAATTTAGGATACATTGGTTTATATATTTTTTTTAGCACAATAAACTAATATTGTTGTCTTTAAATTCAAAGAAATGCATAGCTTTCACCTGATGGTTTTTTTATCTCTTCAATATTTCTCGCACAACTAAATTATGCTAATACCATTAAAAGAAAAAAAAACATTAGAATTTCACAAAGGGGTATTTTTATTTTTCATTTTTTAAAACAATGAAGTGACACGATTGTTTTTAAAATTTTTTAAAAAAAAATTTGGTTCCAAGGACATTTTATTGTGGTGGTTTTTTTTTATTGTTGTTTGTTATTACTATTTCACTTAGAGATTATTTGATAATTTTAAAAATTTAAATATTATTAAAAAAATTAATACGTCAACGCGTGATGACTCTCAAACTCTTTAGATATCACATGTGAGACTATATAATTACAAAACTCCACTGTATACGATAGTGTTTGGACCGGTGTGTACTCCTCTTCATGTTAGTGGGGGCATGTGCATACAACATAGATGCAATTGAACTCTAGAGATTATTATTTTTTTCTTTCTCTTTTCTCTCTCTTAACCAAGAAATTCATACCAGTTGTTCCAAAAATTAATTGTGTTCTCTAATTTGTATTTATATTAATTCTGGTTTTTATTTTTTATTGCTATTTGTTTTGCTTTTAGTGTTTTTTGGAACTTTTTTATTAATTTCATCCCTATTTTTTTCAATGTAGTCCTTATTTTTTTGATTGCTCCTTTTTTGTGTTTTACCATTTTCTTATTATTATTTTTATATTTTGTTTAGGGTCCTGATTCTTATTTTTTTATTGCTATTTTTATTATTATTTTCTTGATTGTTTTTTTATTTTTTCCATCAACATTTTATTTCATTTAATTTTTTATTCAATTTTAATTCATTCTTTTGATTTTTATTTTTTTATTCTTTTCTTATTTTATTTTATTTTATTTTTTCAATTTAGCATCTCATCATTTTTTCATTAAAAACATAATATACAACAATCAAAATATTAAACTTTACTTCATGATTTTTTTCTTGTCTACTTTTCTATAGAATAATCTTGTTCAACTCGAATCCAATTTAAGTTAGGTTTTTTTAGGCCCTTTATTAAAAATTGAATTTTTTTTACTTAAATTCATCATTAAACATTGAATTATTAAGCCTTGAGTTTAGTTGTTTCCTCTATTTTTTTTTATTATCTTAATCTCATATCCCGAGTAGCTGATTGGTCAAGTTAATCCAAGTTAATTCAAATTATTTTTCTGTGTTTTCTTATGAAAATAAATTTTTTATTCAATTTCATTATTTGATATTAAATTACTAGCTCTTGAATCTTATGATTTTTTTTTATAGGGTTATTTCAAGTGCGAGAAGTTAATTTGAATTTTCTTAACATTTTTTTATTAACTTCAGTTTTTATTCAAAAAAATTTATTTGACATTACTTTGAAAAAAAAATTCTTTTCTATAATCTCTATAATTTTTTTAAAAATTCTTTTCTATATAAATCGAATTAACTTGATTCATCTCCTGAACATTAATTCGTTAGAAAAATTAGCCCGGCCCATAGGGCATCACGGCCCACCTATCTAGTCATTCATTTGGGAATTGTGGTGGGGTTGATCCCTGCCCGCCTGCCTGTTATGATGAGAAATAATATCAAAACATGAAAGCGTAGTTTGGAGATAACTACAACGTACGTGCTGCTTGCTATCCATAAAATATTGGAGGAGGGCAGTCCACCTCTGGTTCTTGATCCCTCCGCGCCCACTGATGTTACGCCACGTTTTCGTGGATACTTCATTTGAATCATTTTCTGTCTTTACGGGCCAAAAATTTATTTATTTATTAATTATTATTTTATCCTTTTTCCCTTTAGAAAATGAGTTTGGATAATAAGTAAACTCTAATTAATAGTAAAAAGGAAGATGGCAAACTCTCTCTGCTTTAGGTGAATTAATAGAATAGTTTGGTTCTTCAAACTGAGGAAGGAGTAGCGGTGAAGAATCGAATAGACCCCTTACTTACTCCATTCGCTTTTTGTTATTACTATAATAAATTAGGGTATTATCAGGGGGGGTAACAGTAATTAAAAAAATGTGAAATAGTAGTAGTAAAAATCCGAGAGGTAAAACCGTAAAAGAGAGGAGATAGAAATTTGGGATAGATAGGTAGGTAGGGATTGAGGACGAAATATATATAAATCGAACAATATCCGACTGGACTGGATGTGTGGTGATGCTCCAAAATTGAAATAGAATAGAAACAAGAGAAGGAACTAGATTACCCATTTAGACTAGACGGAGCGCGATGGGCACGAGTGGGGCGTTATCGTCGGGGGGCGCCGCCGCGTTATCGTCGGGAGCCGCCGCAGCCTGTTCGGCTTTCCCTTGCACAGATATCACCAAATTCAAATTCAAATCCAATGCCTTATTTTCACCAAATCCAAGGCGTAACTGCTGCTGCTACTCAATTATTACTCCTGCTTGCACTGCCACAGTAGCATCTACATCTTCATCTTCCTCTACGGCAGCAGCAAGTAGTACTAGTAGCAGAGGAAGAAGAAAAACACTAGTTTCATTCTCGGTGGCTTTACGGTCCAACAATTCCGCAACCATGGTGACAGAAGATGAGGAAGAGGAAGCGAAGAAGAAGATTGGAGCGAAGGTTAGGGTGAAGGTTCCGGTGAAGGTTTACCACGTGCCTCGAGTGGCGGAGGAACTGGATCTGTGTGGATTGGAAGGTGAGGTGAAGCAGTACGTGAACCTGTGGAAGGGGAGGCGAGTTTCAGCTAATCTTCCTTACAAGATTCAGTTTGTCCATTCAGGAGGAGTCAAGTTCTTTGCTCATCTCAGAGAGGATGAGTTGGAATTCCTTGATTGAACTATCCTATCCTCATTTCCTTGCCTTCTTATATATCAATCATCATCCAATGCAGGCAGGCAGGCAAATACCTCTCTTTGCTCTTCCTTTTATTTTCATAATAAAATATGTATGTTTTTGTTATAATATGAATGATGTGTATATACATATGTTCTTCTTCAATCCAATCAGTTTTACTTGTTTATCACTTCACAATCGTCGTCGTCGTCGTCATTCCTTTTTCTTTCAATTTAACAATTTTATTATCTGGAATTTCCTTTCTTTGCTTGTTTACTTGCTATTTTGAGGGGGCGTTTCTTCTTTAAAATTCGCCACTGCAGTGCGACATCTGACCTATTTTGCCTACATATACAGGCTTCTGGAAATTATTGTAGTTAGGATCAATTCTAAACTAGCGCTTGAAATGGTGGAGCTCTTATACTCCCAACTTATAGGGTGTGTTTGGCTGGAGGGCATTGAGGGAGGGATGGATCAGGAGAGAGGGATGAGAAGTGAAGGATGGGGTGTTCCTTTTGTATGGAAAGAAGGGCTAGGACCCAAGGAAGGTTTGGAAGGATCCCTCTATTCTTTCCAAAGGATTGCCTTTTATCCTTCCCTCTATAGTTAGTCAAACAATTAGATGGATGGGTTAACATCCATCCTTTCATTTTACCCTATTCATCCTCCCCCACCCAGTCCTTCCTGCACAGACCCATAGGGTTGCTCTTCCTGACAAAGCCCTCATTTTTGGAGATGCATTTCAATATGTTGGCAGATGTGCTAGGGTTTCAATCCACTTCGTTTCTGACTTCTCCTTGGGCACTTGTTCCTAGCCTTGTTCCTCTGGTTAGTTTATCTTGAGGTTGCTCCTTGTTGTGTCTCGCCATCTAGTGGGATCTCAATGCTCAATGTTGGTTGGTTATCTTTGGAAAATGACAGCAGGGAATTGATAGAATAGAGGAATGGTGAAGGGTACTCCCAATTTTTTAGGACCACTGAGTAGAAAGGAAAGTCCAGGAAATCAAGGAACACTGACTAGGATGTGTGTTTTTGCTTCATCTGGTATAATAAGGAGGCAGTCATATATTATAGCCATGCAATAATACATATGCAATGCAGAGCATCTATTATTCAGTGCTCCTTGGACAATTAGAATTATCAGTTTCAGTGTGTCACTGTGGTTGAAAAGTGTTTTTGAAAATTTTTTATTTTTTATTTTATATTAAATTAATATATTTTTGATGTTTTCAAATTATTTTAATATAATGATATTAAAAATAATTTTAAAAAAATAAAAATATAATATTTTAATACATTTTAAAATAAAAAATATTTAAAAAAGCAAACATTGTTATACTCCCCTACACAAAAGTGACATCAAATTTGCCATACGCAGTTCTGATTCTTCTATTGCATTTAATCAAATTTGATGCTTTGCTTTTCTAGCTTGTGACAATTTTCAATTAAAAGCTGTTTGCTATTGTACAGCTCTGACAGAATTAACGATCACTAGTATGGTTCTTATTGAACTGAAGATCAATTAAATATTTGTACTGTGGTTTTTGGATCTTTCGTAGACCTCTGCCCTGCCATTTCTTTCATCTTCATGCTTTGCATTTTTCTTTGAATTGAAGATCCGCTAAAACATAGTTTTCTCCATGAAATGAGCTGTGGACTTATTCTCTTAGCATTCTTATGGAGGCTGTTCATATGTTTTGGATTTGGTGTCGAAGCACCAAAGGTCAGTTGCCTGTTTGTTACTGTTTACCAGTAATATTACTCCAACTTTTGTGGTGATGTGAAATTTATATTGTTTTGAAGGCTAATCTCGATTGGTTACTTTATATCGTGACTTGTAGCAGATGACCTTTATGTCGGTCCCTGGATCCCAGTTCATGGGTAGCTTTGATCCCGGTGAATAAGTAAAGTTAGGTCATAGTCATCCCGCGGAGGTGGTTGTCCAATTTGCCAGTTAAATGCCATGCAACTGAGATTGATTGTGAATGTCAAGCATATGATTTGTCCTGTTTGACTAAGCCACTAAATCAAGCAATGATGCTTCCTAAACCTTTGATTTTTTTTTATTATTATTATTAAGAATAGCCACACAGTTAGAAGAACGTAGAGACAACAGACTTGTAAAAATCCAAAGAAAATTCGTGAATTTATTTACCAAAAAAAAACTCATATTGCATCCCTTGCACAGAAGATCCATGCATGGGAACCATATGAATCAAGCTCTAATTCTCTATACAGGATAGCTGTTTCCAAACTGGACCAGCTCTCAAAATGGATTGTCAAGCCCAAGGGCCCAAGCAAAATAGATCAACATGGGACGAAAGACGCGAAATCACAACAGAACCAAACCAAATCAACCAACCAATCAGATAATAATAATGATGATGATTACGACAGAAAAAAAAAAAGGCTGTAAATTTTAAAAACCTAAAAAGGAAGAAACCCTTGGTGAAACCTTAAAATCAACAACACACAAAAAAATCAAACGACTTCAAGATGGAAATCTGAAGAAACAACTTGGCTGTTGATCTTTTATTCAAGCCTCTTTAGTTGAACCTGGTCGAAGGAGATGAAGACGCATAGTGAAAAATATTTTTTTTTATTACTCATAGAACCTGGTTGAAGTAGAAGAGGAAGAGAGATTCAAGCCCTCTTGAGTCTCTACTGATCAAACCCAAACCTAAGGTCTGCTTGTCTCTGCATCTTCCTCTACTTCTTCAACTCAGCCTCTCTCGATTATTTTGCTATAAAAGCTAATAAAGGGTTCTGGGTTTTTTTTTTTTTCTTGACTAGATTGAAGCCCTTGGAGTAAAAGCTGTGTTTTTGGTCCTTCTCCAACTCAACCTCTCTTGGTCATTTTGCCACAAAAGCTAATCAAGGGTTCTAGGTTATTTGTTTTTCTTGACCAAAGCCAGGCCCTCTGAGATCTGGAGTGAAAGCTGTGTTTCTGGTGCAATAAGTCAAAATAAAAGAGAGAGGAATAAAATACGCGGTAGGAACGTGAAAAAAGGTACCAAAAAAAAAAAATTCCTTCCAAAACCAATCAAGCTTTCCGGAGCAAGGGGAAAATCATAAGTACACTGTTAAAGTCCACGGTAAAATACCTCATCATACACAGTACTGATTCAATTTAATTTGCATGCATCGGGTACTGATCTTGCTGCGTGATTCTTTGAAGCTTACGCTGTGTAATTGCTGGTTTTGTTCTGGCTGGCTTGGGTCCAACAGACCTCCGAAGTTAGGCTTTCGAAACAGGGCATGTTGGTCCAGCACCCATATGGGACCTTCTGGGCCCCTGGCAGGGCCTTTACTCGTGCAACTGGCTAAGCCAGATGTAGATAAAGTCCGAAACAGCCGCGCGCACAAAAGGCCGAAAAAGAATATGCTGTTCAGTAAGAAAAGAAAAGAGAGAACAAAAGCGGTGGCTAGTAGCCGCAACATATTCGTACACGCTTAAAACCAGTTTGCTCTATTTCCTCTTTCGATAGGTATTCAAAAAAGAATGAATTGATACAGTGCCAAGGTTACAATCTGTTTCCTACATGTTGAGTGGGTAAATCCTTTTCCACATTGAAGATTGTCAGGACTGCAGCAGCCGATGGCAGATGGAGATACACCTATGTTAGCTTTCAAGTTTCAGTAGTAAATAAGATGGAATCAGCGGTACATGGAGGTCTGGGGCCAACCAAGGCAGAAAACTTGGAGTATTAGCCGATGTATGGCAAGCAGTTTTAACTCCTACAAATGCACACTCTGCTCCTCCCATAAAGAAATCATAATCCAAACCATGTAGGTTAAAAACAACATTCACAGTCTGCCCTCACAAGAAACGGTGTTTGGTCATGATACTTCTTGAAGAGCTAGATTTAGCTCCTGGGCGTACTTCGCAACTGAACCACCTTTCCTATTGAACAAAACAGCGAGTAGAATAAAGGAATCCAGGCACAGTACGTTGGGATATCAAAGCAGCAGTTTTCAAGCTAGCTAAGAAAATTGAAGCTACCTTGTAAGGGTAAGCAGGCAACGCTTGACTTTCTCAAGCTCTACAAAGCAGATATTGCAACGTTCCAACCTGTGAACCATATAAGCAGCGTCTCAAAGCAATTTTTGTTGTGTGCATAGAAAAGACAGTTGCAAACATTACAAAAGGTGCACACCTTTGCTCTGCTTCAATATCCACACCAACAGGTGTTGATGCTGATAGAGTCGAATAGATCATTGAACCGAATGTCCTGACCAGCTTCAGCAGCATGTCCAGTGAAATGCTTGAGTGCCTAAATACAAGATAGTTTAGCAATAAATCCTCGCTATTGGCACTCTCTTTTGAAAATTAACAACGCTTGTAGCTGCCCACTGGAAACTACATTTTCTTATGATGGAAAACACATAGACCAACAGCTGTAAGTTGATTAACTGACAAGTATTACAAAGCACAACCTACCTATCCATGTCACTTCCAAGCAGGTTAGTAAGAAGAGGCAGGAGACATGTGCATATATCCAATGTGACAGTGTCAATTTTATCTGCCACAATACTGATTACATCAGCAAGGACCTGCGAGTTACAGCATATGGAAAGAAACTAAAGGTTAAGAATGAATGTTAAAAGAAACTGTCGCATCCAAATATGCTTATTAAATACAGTGAGAAAAGAGGAGGGAAAGGGGAACTTACAGCGTGGTCAGCCATCTTCTCCATTGCACCAATGGCCCCCTTTACATCATTTCTCTCCCAATATCTATAGACAACCTACAGGAAATCATAGAAAAGTTTCACCAGCCTTTCAATGGCAGCTAGCTGGACGCAAGCATATTAACAGAAGTACAAAAGGGAGAAAATAAAAGGGGGGCACATGATGGCTAAATGGAGAATAAATGTAGCATGCAGTTTCCAAGTTCTCATATGTTACAAAAGATAAGAGATGGCCCCAAAACTAAAGAATCTGCTTGGGTCAATGCTGTGTATTTCTTGCAGAAAACAGGTCACACCATTGCATCTGTTCGTTTCTACCATATCAATAAGAAAGTAATAACTCGATTGTGACAACTAACTTGCAGTTGGAAGGGATAAAGCAAGTACAGATAGGAGCTTATAGCCAGCAATTTGGGAGGGTGCTCTGATTGAATCCATCATTATGATAAGAATAAAAAAAAATATGGAGATGCTAAAAGGCAATTTATCAGTTAGGGACAGAAACAAATTACAGTTGCAATTTGAGGTACTTGCATTTATAAACATGCATAGTAACTTTATTGGTAATGAATTTGTCTCCATCTCTCATGTGGAATTATGTCAAGAAATGCCAAAACAAAGATGCCAATGTTTTCTGTCACCAGCACTCCCCTGCCCTTGAATGGGCAAAATATTACATTTATGTCTGCACTTGTCACACACATACACACTCACTTATCCAGCTAAGTCACCTGTAACTTGGCAGAACGAGACTGCATAGAGCTGACAAATTGATCATGCTGTTCCATTAAGTCTGCAATAACATCATCGTCACTAGCAAAAACCATTTCCTTTTCGATGGATGGGGCACGTCCTCTCTGTTTAAACTTCAACATATTAACAGATGAAAAAGGTGTATAAATCAGCATCTTTTAAGTGAATGAAATGAGAAATGAAAAGGGTGTATAAATCAGCATCTTTAAAGTGAATGAAACGAGAAGACTTAAACAAGCACATAAAAAATATATTGGAAAACATGAGCTGGAGTAGAAATTACACCCCCCACCCCGCGCGCGCGCGGGCGGTGTGTGTGTGTGTGTGGCGGGTGTGGTGATAGTGGTGGTGATGTGTGGGTGGATGAGGTAAAATTAAGATCCAGAGCAGGATGTCAGGACTCTATTGTTCTAGATGCTTTTATGCCTTCTATGCCATGTGAGAAGCTTCCTACAGAGAGACCACTACAATTTAGTGCAACCATCATTGTTACAAATTCAACACAAAAAAAACATATATACCCCTACAAAGTTTGTAAACTAGGTGTATCCTCAACTGGAATAAATTAGTACCCCTCCACGTGAACAGTTTATCCTCCATTTTCCAACCAGAAAAATGTCTAGTTATATCATAGGCAGTGCCACTGAACTAAAATGTCATCTTTTTGAGGAAATTGAGTGCATAGAGATATCAGAATTGGCACCATAAAATGTAAAATTGATGTTCTGATCGCAGTACTGATGGAAAAAAAAGTATGGATCGTAAACAGCACATATTTGATATCATCCATAACAGAACAAGGTGAGGGATGTGAAAATTTTCAATTAATAATTGTTTCATTCATACAAGCAAAGATAAAATGATAGATCATTTTTGTACAGAAGATAAAGACCTAGCATCAAACATAATCAAGTAACAGGTCCTTTTCATTTTTATGTCTTTTTGGACATGATATGTTCTGCATAACACTTTGAAAACATGTAATACAGTCCTGAAACCCAAAATACTAGCACATGTCTTCACGTGATCAGAAAGTTATGAAAGAGAATGAAACAAGTACAAAAGTTGAAATCAAATCCTACCATATTAAGAGGGAGCCCATTCACCACAGATGATGTCCCAGCAGAAATGACAGAAGTAGGTCCCTCATAGCTAGGAGAGCTTCCCCTTTTCTCCCAGTTTATCATAAGTGAACGCATTCTTCCTACATATTTAACGTGAAATAGATTAGGCATATTTGCATTATTGACAAACCTCTTATTGCAACCAAGAACAGCAATACCTCCTTTCTGGCTTTCAATGGAGGGTGCATCTCTGTTTATTTTATGTCCTCGAGTCTCACCTGGAAGAAACATTAATATTTTCAAAATTGGAGTCGCGCATTCCATTTCAACTGACAAAAGTGTGAAAAGCATGCCAATCCAAAGCCACAAATTTACCAAGCAAATCAAAGCCCAACTCATGGAGTCAATGAAACATAGAGAATAAGATGGGAATCATGATCTATTGAATGGGTAAACAGCCCTATGATTTCTTCCACCAACACTGCATGAACATCCATATTTCACTCCATTTTCAGCATCATCCTTGTCCATTTCATGAAACCACCCTTCCAACAGCCAAAAAGGTGG